TACCTTTATAATTGTTAATTGACAGATTTTAAAAATGAACACTTCCCCTTCCCTTGTTTTTTAGCCATCTTGTGAAGGTATAATGAATGAAAAATAATGAAAAAGTTAAATGAAATCCTTCCAAAACCAAATAAAGCATTTATAGCAATGATATGAATAAAACAGGGTACTTGGAAAACTGAAAATGAAGCAAAGCCATATTTGTAGCCAGGTACTGCAGAAATATGAATATTCTAGCAAAGTACCTTTAAAAATCTATCACATGTATACATTTTGCTATTCTTCTGTATCTTACTGTTAGACTCTCCATTTGAAAGAAATGGCAAATTCTTACATAACAATTTCCTGGGATTATCAATGATTAAAAAAGAAAGCAAATATCTCCTTTAGCTGTCATTTTTGCCCAAGTAGTAATAAATACAGAAAGAAAAAAATTAGCACTGGGTTTATAATATAGACATGAAAAAATACATAGTACTGTATTTCTGTGAATGTATATATAGTACAAATACGTATATTTGTTTATATATAAACTAGTTTCCACTGATATCAATTAATATTATTTGCTTGAGATGTTTTCATTTTAATTATCCAGTTTTCATACTATATACAGTTCTTAGTTTATAAAAAGAAAACTTAAAATTACATTCTTTAATAAGCAATACTAAATTCAGTTCTGAATGGAGAATTTTCAAACACTGGAATCACCATTGTTATGAAAAAATAACACCAAAAAATGAAATTAAATTTTAAGAAAATCCTTTATAAATTTAAAATGAATCACATGGAAGTGATTTATCCTGTCTAAAGTATTTTACCAAATAATCTGAAGCTGAAATAATGACATGCAGGTCATATCTCAAAATGTATTTTTCTGGAAGGATAAAAGAATCAAGTTTGACTAATACTGTGGATATATACCTCACAAAAAATTAGAAATATTTTGGCTTATGGGAATTAAAATAGGATAGACTATGTGGAATGTTTAAACTTTCTCCAACAGATTTTAATAAGAGAAGATGACCTTGAGTCCCTAATGTCAAACTATAGCCTAATTCTTTTTAATGGGGACTGTTTTGCCAGGTAAAATTCTTCAGCCTGTTAGTACCTTTAGTTTTCTGAAACAAAGCAGTCACAAGTACCATTATCTGCCAAACACTGCCAGACATATGAGGAGATAATTATTTTTTCATGTAAGGTATTTTTTTTACCCAATATTAAACTGAAGGCATCAAACTGTATATATTTCCTTAGACCTTCTAATTAAAGTACAACAAAAAAACATTCTTCTCATACCAAAGACTGAACCCCAATAATCTATCAACTCATTGTCTACATATTCCCATGAATGTTGTTATTTGGAGGAGACAGGAGGAAAAGGTACAAATTTATTTTTGTATAGTAATTAAAATATATAACAAGTAGTTATTAATACGTAGAAAACATAGTTGATCTGGCATTAATTGTGGACTTCAGCTATACCTTTGGTCTTAGGCAGAATATTAATTTAAGGTGGGAGCAGCAACAGATGGTAACTACCCTTATCATGGTGAGCATTTCATAATGTATAAAATTGTCAAATCACAATATTGTGCACCTGAAACCAATATATATTGTATGTCAACTATTCTTCAATAAAAAAATAAATAAGCAGAAGGAGAACCTCCAAAAAAAATAATAAAGACTGTCTTAAAAGAAAAAAAATGGGAGCAGGAAATAGGGAAAGGCAAAGATATATAATTTTTGCCTTCTTGGGTCATTTCTTCTTAAAAACATTATGTGAATGGACTTTTCATCAGAGGATGAAAAAAGATCTTTTAGAAATTTGTAAATGTCTCACTAGGACACAAACTATCAGTTTCCCATCATTGACAGTCACGTGTGCTTTGGACAAAGTATCTGAGGGTGTATGTTTTCATCAGTGATTCACATTTGAAATAAAACAGATTAGATGTTTGTTGGAAGCAATACTTTATACAACTGAGCAACCTATTTACACTAAACCTTTACAAACAGAACCCACATTACTTAAGCCCCAAGACCCCTCAAGACCCAGAGTCACCTACCTGGAGAACCAATTTTTGTGAGTAGCCAATTTATAGGCAAAGTGAAAGAAACATGAGAACTGGATAAAATAACCATATGTCCCCACTGGAAGCCCCATTACTTGAATCATTTAAAGCTTGCTGGACAAAGCACCAGGAGAATTTGCTGTAGGAAACAAACCTACTTAATTTAAGGTGGGAGCAGCAACAGATGGTAACTACCCTTATCATGGTGAGCATTTCATAATGTATAAAATTGTCAAATCACAATATTGTGCACCTGAAACCAATATATATTGTATGTCAACTATTCTTCAATAAAAAAATAAATAAGCAGAAGGAGAACCTCCAAAAAAAATAATAAAGACTGTCTTAAAAGAAAAAAAATGGGAGCAGGAAATAGGGAAAGGCAAAGATATATAATTTTTGCCTTCTTGGGTCATTTCTTCTTAAAAACATTATGTGAATGGACTTTTCATCAGAGGATGAAAAAAGATCTTTTAGAAATTTGTAAATGTCTCACTAGGACACAAACTATCAGTTTCCCATCATTGACAGTCACGTGTGCTTTGGACAAAGTATCTGAGGGTGTATGTTTTCATCAGTGATTCACATTTGAAATAAAACAGATTAGATGTTTGTTGGAAGCAATACTTTATACAACTGAGCAACCTATTTACACTAAACCTTTACAAACAGAACCCACATTACTTAAGCCCCAAGACCCCTCAAGACCCAGAGTCACCTACCTGGAGAACCAATTTTTGTGAGTAGCCAATTTATAGGCAAAGTGAAAGAAACATGAGAACTGGATAAAATAACCATATGTCCCCACTGGAAGCCCCATTACTTGAATCATTTAAAGCTTGCTGGACAAAGCACCAGGAGAATTTGCTGTAGGAAACAAACCTACGCGAATGGGGCCAGGAAGAAATGACCTAATGGTGAGTCTCCCCTTCTGCTCTAATTTCTATGGTTCTGTGTTAAGAAAAGCTGTCTCGTCACACTGTTGTAAAAGCTTATGCCTCAACAAGAGGGCATTCTGATTTTAAAAAATCAAAACAAAACAAAACAAAAAAAAGTTCAAATTTAGCATTAGTTTTCATCATCAAAAGGCAAGGACACTTTAGGACAGTTTTCCCTGGGAACAACACTTTCAAGATACAATGGGAAAGTATTAATTTTTCTTTCATTCAAGAACTTAAATGCCAGTAAAAGAGTTTGTTTCTAGTTGAATTTTGTTTGCTGGCTATTGGAATTTAGAGTAACTGCTCCTCTATTCCTAGCTGTTTACAAGGCCAAGTGGCAGCTTTTGATGTTATCCAATGTGAAACCCCATGTAGACAGTTAATGGAGGCAGGGTTGGCCCCAATTGGAACTCTGACTGGTCTGCCATTTTGATGGTCCACACCTTGCCTCAGTTTATTATTTCAGTAGGAAGTATTCATCACATGCATATTCTCACCTGGCATAAGGTACACACACAGAGAGGTGCAGAACATTTAGTGAATACGTGCATAGGAAAGCCTGGGAGAGAGGGGAATGAATGAAGTTACTTGCATGTATTGCATGTATGAATGACAAAGTATATGACTCCACTCTCTAGGTAAATATCTATATTTATTCATGGAAGATCTGGATTTGGGGCTCAAGATACAGAACACAGTGTCAACTTAAAAATATTTTTCTATGAACTGCAAAGTTTTTCCAATAGTCGCTCCTGATTTGAAATGAAAGGATGCTATTTATCCTGAAACTGATGTAAGTCCAAATGAGATGCTGCAAATATCACGTATTCTGCCTTTTGTAAGATGAGCCTGTGAGTGTGTGAGGGTGAGCATGTGTGCACGGTTGGACTTGAAGGCAGGTACTCATACTGAGAGGAAGGGAGTGACCTAATTAATACTATTAACCCACTTACCCAAGTCCTGGGATTTTCAGGTGTTTTTATTGCCAGTGAAAAGTACAAGTGACACTTCTCACACTGATGTTAACAGTTCACCACTGAAAAAGATTTTGCCTTTTTTTTGGTGTAAGGGTGACTTTAATATTAAGAACTTTAAAATGTTTCAGCATTCTTTCTCCCAGAAGTGCTTTTGCACTGTTCAAAACTTCACTCCTTACTGTTAAATAACAAGGTTGAGTTTTGATACTACCTCTTGGACAGATTTATAAATGCAACTTTCCCCCCATCCTCTTAAAAAGAGGCAAACGGTATTATTGCAAATAACCTTTAAGATAATTAACTGACAATGCTGCAACTAGCATAAAATCTTCCTTCAGGCGACACCTAATTTAAGTGTTACTGGCACAAAGTGGAGACAGATTGCGCATCACCACTGAAATATTTACATAGCAGAAACCCACAGAGCAGGAAACGCGAGGCTCAATGATGCACTAAATTAGGAACAACCGTACTCCAGTGTTAATTTGCTTTCCATTCTATCCAAATCTCAGGTCCAGAAATTGGTACAAACACATACACAACCTCCCACTCTTAAATGACTAAACTAGAGGAGATATTTGTACACCCCCCCCAAATTAAAATAACTTGAAATTTATTTATTTTCTCCACCAAAACTATTTGATCAAACTGTGTTTATTTCATTACAACTTGCTCTCACTTCGATCTAAAATTATTTTCATATGAATGCTTCATCAGAGTCTATAGAGAAAAACTAAATAGACTTCTGCTTTCTTAAAGGCTGCCAATATAGTTTATGAAAAGAATAAAACGAGAGAATTGAAAGCCAGTGAGTGAAATATTCAGGAACATGGAAGGGCAAATTTACCTTAAGTGAATTTCTCACTGATGAATGCTGTCCTCCTGACCCACACACCCTCCCAGCAAAAATACAATGAATTTTCTAAAGCCACTCACACAATATTTTCTCCCATTGTTCCCTGCAGTATTTTAAATGCCAGTTTAAACCAAGGCATTAACAAAACATTTACCTTTCCTAGTTGTTGGTGCTCTTTAAAGGCAGCGATCAGTTCTTCAGCCCACTTAATTTTTTCACAGGAAGGAGAAAACTGCTCCTGGACCACAGCAATTTGGCTAGGGTGTATCACCTGCTTCCCTACAAGAAGATTAATAATACCGGAAACATGAAACAACAAATATACATTCAAATAAAATGTCTCAACCATGCAAGGCTCCTGAATGCCTTGCCAGACTGTACGTAAAGTAATTATTTTAGAATTTTTTGAAAAGAAAACCACCACAATTGGGGAGGTTTTTCCAAAACAGCACATAAGGACAAATACTACAATGAGAGTAATTATGTTTTTGATCCTAAGGAAATGCCACCTTAGTGCAGCTTATCTCTTATTTTTAGTTACAGGTGGACTGACTAGACAGCTTGCTGAGTAACTGCCTTGGCTGGAACTTTAAGGGATAATGTCTGGAAATTAGGGTAATTATTTTGAATTAAAGTAGAAGAAAAATCATATGTTAATTCTTTCAAATTTTTTAAGTTGTCTTTTATTTTGTACCCACTTTCCCACTTCCCATGATTTCTTTTAGAAACTGGTCTGCTGGTTTTCATAAAGCTTATAGAAGCAGATGTTACAACCATATGAATATCAAATAGCACTTACAGTAATATTTAATTTTCTCACTTTTGGATGAGTATAGTGTGTCATTTCTAACCACTAACAGAAAATTGAATTTTAATGAAAAAAATTTTAATCAGTACAGTAAAATAGAAGGCAGATTTGAATACTGTAGTCTCTAAATTACTCCATTTAAAAATAAAAATTAACAGAAAGTTTCTCTAACCAAAAATGTAACCAGATTTTCCCTTTTTCTTATAGAATTAAGATTGGATATTTCCCTCTTATATAAATTCTTAGACACTCCAGAAATTTTTTCTCTGTAGTAATAGCTTTAAAAAAGCTTTATGCTTCTTTTTGAAGTTTAAGGATCTTAAACAAAAACATTATTCAAAGATAAGAGTCACAGGATTCTATGAAATCATGCAGTCATTAAAAAAACAATTTAACAATCAGGGAAGAATGGAATCTAATCAGGCCATTAATAAAATGCAACATAATTTAATGTTATAATAACGATGAGATTTTATTACATGATAAAATTATGGACATTTGGTTCTTTAAAAATGAATGTACATTTAATGATAATTTACTCTGCTAAATATATTTGTTGGTATATCGATTTGCTTTGCTTTTGAAATAGTTGCTTTAACATTTATTTAGTAAAAACTGTATCCTTGATATTTTAAAAGAAGTCATTTCCTGTTATTATCCTAATAGAAAAAAAGTGTAAAAAAATTTTTTTTAATATTTCATGAAAGAGCTTATGTGAATAAACATAGCAATGTCTTTTCTTACAGTGGCATAATTAAAACATCCTCACACTGCTATTTCATTCTTATTTGTTATCACACTAATAAAACATTAAAACCCTATATAAATAAAGATGCTTTAAATCATCTGAGAAATAATTTCTGGGAGCAAATAATATCAGTAATGACAAGTGAAAGCTTTTTCATTCTAGTAGGTATTGAAATTATATGTGAGTAATCTAATAGTTGTTACAGTATTATTAATAAAGGATGTCAGTTCTGGTAGTTATTTTGTACTAATTGTTAGTCCTGATTTTTATAATTTATATACATAATTTACACTAATGTATAAAAAAGTCAAATTTCATCAGAACTTATTGGTACAGGCACTATAATTTGAGAGGCAAAACATAAACTATTTAAAATACAGTGAAACTACTGATGGTTTGAAATACCCATGTATTTTGGGAATGAGGCTAATTTTAAGGTATGTGTTAGGTTTTAGAAATTTATAAACATCCATATGTGGAGTTATCTTCTGTTGAATCTTATATATTCTAACAATTGAACATCAGACTTTAATGCCATGTGGGAGTGAAGCAAATATTTTATACAGAAGAGTTGTTATTGACAAGTTACTGAGAGGGTGCAAAATTGGAAGACATTAAAATTTATGACCATGAAATCCTTTTTTACAGTACCACTTGATATATCGTGCTTTAAATCAATACCTGTCAAGTCTTTTAGGTAACTGTATGATGGTGTCATTTTTGTCTTCTACAAAAGACTGCAAAAAAGAAGAAAACCTATAGTGCTTCATATTTATAATCTTACTGCTCAGCATGTAGTACTAGGAGTAACTGTGATGACTAAGTCAGCTGTTAAAGCTTTATTCTGAGATTTACTTTTGGTTTCTTTAAAAATAATTCTTAAAGTCAGACATTTATACAGTCAAAACATTTATTTAAAATCAATCTACATGGATTGTGGCCCCATGAAATAATGACTGCAGAAAAGAAACTATAACCCACTGTTTGATGCATGGCTAACTTTAAAAAAACTACTAGTCATTTAAAATACATAATTTTTAAGAGTACAGAGAATCCTTATAGGAAGACTAAGTGCTCCTTACCAGTGTTATGAATAATACAATACTTTCATTAGATTTTAAGTCTTTTCAACCACCTGCTTCATAGGGCGTATACTTCCCCTTCTTTCCTTCCCCTTCTTCCTACCTTCCCTTTTTGGGCAAAGCCGAAGCCATGGCAATTAACTGACAAGCAATTAGGACAAACAGACCACGAGTGGTCTAAAATACTCAAAGCATTTATTATTTAAAAATACTGAAAATAATCTCATTTTATTATCAAACTAATTACCTTTCATTAGTATGTAGAAATATAATTGGGACAACAAAAACCTTCCTTCTAAAAATTTCAAATTGGCTATGAAGTTAGCTCCCTACTTTACTGACTGGTTCACTTGAATATATGATGGGCACTGTACCCTCTGTGTTCACCATTCTCCCCCTGCTTCCATTTTTTTTTTTTTTTTTGGTGTGTGTGTGTGATTTAATACTCCCTGTTGTTGAGAAACAATAGTGCCAGGCCCATAAGCTCCTCATGCTGAGTTGGGCATAGTCTAGAAATTTAAATCTGATTTGAAATAACTTGTCTTTGGCAATTGAATTAGGGAACCAATTTAATTCAGTCCTTTATCTTAGAGAAACTCTCAAACTCCCTTCTAAGTTCTGGAGCAAACATTTACCCCCGAGGAAGCTGAGGACACCCAGGTTATATGAATGATGGTGATAGGGGCCAGCATCAATTCATTGTTTTCTATATTTTTATTGAATTAGTGCCCATTTCAGAGCAACATCTGGCTGCTTGGCAGTCAATGCCATACATTTTAGACCCAACAACATCAGAGTCTATTAGATAGATTTCATGGAGTGTTTCTTCAACTTTTCCATTTGGGCCATGTCCTAACTGGTCATTGGAAAGAGGCAGGTGTAATAGACCACAGGGACAAGGACAACCCCAGGGCTGGGGTGGAGGGACTCTTTCTGTCTTAGTCACTATTAAACATAGGAAGTATTCATTTATTAATAGTTCAGATTACTGAAAAATGTTTCTCTGTAAAAGATCACAATTATTTACTTATTAAACAAATTTGGATGACATTTTGTTTTAACCCTTTAGGTTAAAAACACAAAAACAAATGTCAGCACTTTATTTAATTCTAATATAATACTAAAATTGCTTCTTAAATCATTCAATTTTATTTTGGGTTAAATCATCCATTAAGATACCTTTTACACTGAAGGCCACTTAATGAAATGTTTCTTTTAGGAATCCCTAACTGGACACACATTTCAGAAATATTTGCAAAAGGGATAGCACGGATTCTTATCTATTTCTTTATTATTTGGATACATTTCTGATCATGATATTCTTAAAACTTGCGGCAGAAAAACAAACAAGAATAAAAGAGCTTATGATGTTTTCTATCCATAGCTGCATGTGTGTATGCAACTGCAAACGTGTTTGTGCACAGAATTCTATTGTGGTTTTTAAAAAAATAGACTTCTGTCACAAAAACACAATTTTCGGTTGCTCCCCAGGCTCCTGGGGATTCTGAGTGACTGGGAGTACCAATCAACAGATATCTGCCTGCACTACAGGACTGGACTGCAAGGGGCCCGCTGATCTTAGTGCCAGCCAATGCCCGTAGGTGTCGCCAGGTGCATAGATACTTACTGGGAAGTGGGAGAGAAAGGAGGGGATTCAAGTGGCAAAAGCATAAAAAACTAGGTAGGAGTTAAAAAAAAAAAATCAAAGAAGATATCGCCAAAAATTTTTTCAGAAATGAACTAGTGTTTTGAATTATTTGGGGAAATTTTTCTTTTATCCATCAACTCAAATTCTTACGGCAATTTACTTGAAAAAAACTTCTAAAAATAGCCTCCTCTCCCCCGTGGGTCAGCAAAAATTGCAGGAAAATACTTAAGAGGACAGAAAATAAACGTAGCTAATATAAAGAGAAAATAAAATGAGTGATTTTATTTTCAATAAAATGACTTGTGGAGCCAAAGGAAAACGTGACAATTTGTTCAGCAGGTTCTTGCCCTGTGTGGGCATACTTATTCAGTGCAATAAGTATGAGCTAGCTGGCTACAACAGAAACCCTAATTTCAGATTACAAATCTACTTTTCTGGAATGATGTCTAATCTAGAGGCTGCATTCTGAGACATCATCAAGAATCATACCGGTAAATCCCATTGCAGCTCCTTCTCTTGACTGCCTGAGAAGCCCCTCTCCGTCTCGGAAGTCGACGTATACCAGATCTATGGCCTGCAGACCGAAGGCCTTAGCTATGACAATGATCTTTTGTCGGGCGTAGAGAATATCGTGGGTGTCCTTATTACTTGTTGCACCTGAAAATGGGGTGTTGACAGAAAAAGATGACGTTAGCTGTGGAAACCAAACCTAGACAGCTATTACAAATACTCAGTTTGTAAAGACTTCTACGCTTCCTGGGAACTGCTCCCCAGCAAAATGATGATTCAAATATAAATGAAGAGAGGGATATATATGGAGATAGATTTCATGTCTATTTATCTTGCAACAGCTTTCAGTATGATCACTTGTGTATGCATTAAGAAAAGGCCCCTCCCCATCTCAGGAGATACAATCACAAATGACTGTTGGTATATTTTTTCCTTCTTGCTGTCATTTGGAAAGTGTCAGTCCCAAGATAGCACACAAAAGGCAGCTAGGCAGCTGTACAAGGAAATGGTTAACTTCTCTCACTGAGCACAGAGTTGTGTGTGCTGTGGTTGCAATGCCCTGTCGTAACTGAGGTTTTGAGCCAAATACTGCAGCTTCAGGGTTTGGAAGGACAACTTGGGGAAATGGAAGGGCACTCATTTCGAGACAGGCAGTAAGTGCCTGCTGAGCTACTGGATGCACAAAAGTCTCCTGGAAAAACTGGTACTAAATAAGTTCCTTTTCTTCACCCCTGGGTAGCGGGTAGTACCACTGTTTGTATTTGGACCATGACCCTGCTCAGGGAAAGCTCCTGTCTTCAGGTCATTAGGACTGTGGTTCTGAAAGCGCTCTGTGGCCCTGGCCTCTTTGTGAGATGCACTCATACTCTCTACTTAAACATGCACCAGACCAGAAGTGTAGTGCTCAAGGGATGGGGAAGATCAGTGGAAAGCAGCACACTATCTCAATACATATTTAATAATAAGAAGAGTTCTGAAATATATTTTAGGAGACATTTAAGTCTATTTTAAATAATTTTTACATACTACATTTAATGGAGAAAATGATTTGTTAAAACAAATGTGAAATTGCATTAAATTTGTGTTAGAAGCCTAGACAGCCCTCAGTCTGATGTGAAAACAAAATATTCAAGCAGTGAAGATGTTGTTCATATAGCATACTTATTATGAACAAAGGAGATGTCATATATTCCTTAACACATCTGCGGCTGCAACAGGCTCTTTTTAAGTTATTTTATAAATGAACAGAAGTAATAATGTTGTTTTCTGGAAGCAGCACAATTATGAGGTGCCTTAAATTATCAGGCAGTGTCGCCCATTCAGCTGAAAAACCATTGTCATGGCTGGCAAATATATATTATCATGTAAATGTCCATTCGTGAAGTGGGCAAAGAAAAAATACACACACATGTACACAGAAATGAGAAAGAGAGAGAGCAGGATGAAGGGAGGGAGCTGGGGGAGGGAGGGAGGGTGGGAGTGGGAGACAGAGAGAAAAATCTGTGTCTGACACCTATGCTGGCTCGAAAGTCTTCTCCTCCAAAAACAACTGCATCTAGAAAAAGACCCACTTGAGATCCAGCCTTTAGTGTTTCTTCACACACTGCCTGTAAAAGAGCAGAACAGAACCAAATCTCACAGAAGTGCACGATTTAGAGAGAGGTAGGGTATATTTCAGTAACAGAAAGATCCAACTCTTAACACAGTTTATTGAAACCTGTCCTAAAAATGTAGCCCAAATTCACGCTTTCAAAAGGTATTTAATATTGTCCAAGATAAATACGCTGTACATCTTTGCTTTGCTCAATGGATATTAATACAGTTATTAATATATATGAATATATTTATAATGTTCAGATTCTTCATTCAATTTCTAGAGAAGACTGAGCTAACTCAGTTTGATTGTACTATCAGTTATTTTTATTTTTCCAAAATTTGGTTTTGCTTTAAGAGTTTCTTAATATATGTAAAACCATAGGAAAGAAGGAAACAGTTTTAAAATCAAACTAGTTACATTATATGCATTAGGATCAAATTTCTTAGTCTCAGGACTAAAGATAAACAGTACAAAAATCTACAACCCCGGAGTGGAAAATAAAAATGCAACAAGTCATTAATTAGCAACTTTGACATTTCTATGTGAAAATAAAGATTAAAAACATTCATCTTGACTCTGCAAATGTGGAGATGCAGCATGCTAATAGATGTGAGTGGGGAAGACATGAGAAACGGGCAAGGATATTGCTGATGAATTTTAGGGGTTAGAAGAAGTGCTTCTAAGTACACTGTTGATTAAATTGGTAAAACATACTACTTACAGTAATGTGAGTGCTATACAATACTTAAATCATTGTGTAAATCTAATTACTTCTAAGGGATATGCTTTGGTTATATTCTCAGACTTCCAGGGCAGGCTGGAAGAACTTGTGGTTAGTGTTACAAGTGCGCTGATCGGGAGGCCCGAAGCAGCTCCCCAAACATATGCGCTCTGCCCCTGCTGCATGGTCCAGTAGGTCTCAAAGTTTCCTCTCAGAGGGTTTGTCACATTTTATCTCTCCAGTACAGGTCAACTGTTTTTTTTCTTCATTTTTAAGTATTTCTTCTTTCCTGCCCTTTGAGGTAGGGTGTTAGTCACACTGACGTTTATGAGTCAGGTGGAATGGAAGGCATATTTTGGAAAATAATTGAAATGATCACTCATACAGTGGGAAAAAACAAGCTAGCTATGAATCTGTTAAGGCAAATAGTTTATGTAACCATACAATGCTGGAAAACACTTGGCTCAGTTAATCTTCCTGAATGTCTACTGGAAATATTTTGTGTTCTAATGTGACAAACTGAAATAATACACTACAGATTAATGGTGTACACTAACTTATAAATAGCAACCTTATCTATTAGACACTATGGACAATGTTGCTACAAAGCAGTCAGAAAGTTTCTTAATAAAAGGCAATTACGGGAAGTTAATTCATAAAGGGGACAAAGTAAGTTTTCATGCATGTTTAATCTATAAATGTAATAATTCAAAGCACAGATTTATATAGTGATTACTTAATCAAAATTATTGCTAGAAATATATAAACATTTCATTTAAATATTTAGGACTGGGAAGTTTTTCCTTGCTACTTGGTCAATTTCTTTGTTTTCTAAGATGCTCACAACCTAGTTTTGGATTATTAAAGAGAAGAAATGGTGCTCAAGGTTTACTTTTGCTTACAAATCTCCCTGGAAAAATATTTTAAACAGGTGTTAAATTGAAAACAAAAGTTCTCCTTAGGTAATAAATAAAATACTTATTAGCCACATTATGGTTTTCTTACCTTAAAATTGAGCAAACCCATTGCAGTTTCCACAAAAGGGATTAAATTCATAGGTTGTTCAAGTTTTCGGCCTTTTAAGTAGAACAAAAATTTGTCTGAAAACTGAAATCAAAAGTGTCATAGGTGATTAGTGGGAGAAAAACAGGTACAATCACTGAAATGTAGACACAGAAGTTGTATTTACGTCTTTTGACCTGAGATTGTAACATCCCAGCCTCTTTCATTCACAAAAAAGAACTTAAATGAAAAACACACCAAAAAACAGGAGGAAATACCCAAGAAAAAAGGAAAAGTCCCCACCAAACTAAGTAGGAAAACCCCAAGAATTATAATTATTTTTTCTAACAGAGCAATTTGAGGCCTATGAGCTAGAAGTGGAAGGAGAGATTATCGAGTTTAAATGCTTTTCTTGAAACATATTTCTTGAAGACCTCTCGCCCTCACTGCACACCGTGCAAGGGGCAGACCCCCAGGCAGTGAAGCCTCCCTCTACCTGCCTTGTTGCTTTTGTTTGGGACCCAGCACTGATGCCGGTGGAACTGCTCGGCAGTCTTCTCTGGGGAATCCATATTATTCACTGAAGCACCGTGACCCTTTGTTCAGAGGGTTTTTTTGCATAATTTTTTAGCTTACCTAGGAGGACCTTAAAAAAGGAGGTTTAATTCTTTGAAGACCAAAGCTCGCCAATGTTCTCCATGAGGCCAGTTCACAGCTAGCTTATGCTGCCGGTGGGGTAGCCCCAATTCCAAAATCTATCATCTGGAAATACACAAAAGCCCTGCACAGATCTACCCCCACCCCTTTCAAAAGGAAAAAACCCACCATACCCTAAGTTGTAAATCTGTTATGTCTATCTGGATATAACAAGATGTGGGAAGATTAGGAAAAAAATCCACAGGTATGATAAAGATATTTTTCTAAATAAAGATGAAAACACATATATATCCATTTTAAATTTAAGAATATTCAGCCATTAATGGATATCAAAGGAAAAGGGAATTTTAATCATCTCTCCATTCAGTCTCAGTTGGGTAAATCATATCTAAGAGATTTGCATAAATATAAACCATCAAAGACTTTTCATCTTCAAAGGGGGTTTCAAGACCCTATAAGCTTTGTACTGTAATCATCGCAGGTCACCACCCTGCAGGAATAGGGCTGCTATGGCAACATAAAAAAACTAATGCTTAAGGCTTAGCATAATATTCTGACTAATAGAAAGGAAACTCATTTTAAAAGCTGGCAGCCTATTTACCAGAAGCAGGATTAGAGGTGTTATTTCCCCTTTTAGTTGCCCCCTCCTTGCCTGTGCAGCCCCCTCCCCACCAAAATCTAATCACTGGGATCTTTAAAAAGCTTTTGAGCAATTTGCAGTAACTTTACAATTAGGCTAAAATAAATCACAGCTTTCAGTAATGAAGAATTATTCCCAGTTGCTCCCACTGCCCCCCCACCCCCACCGCCCTTCCTAGACACCATCACCATCACCTCCTTAGTAACTTTTCAAGGGAAGGAATAACTCAACCAAAATAGCAAGAGAGAATAGAAGGCTACCATTTCAGGGGACAAGATGTATAGGATTCTCTGTAAATAAAAATAAAACATAACCAATGCCACACATTTAATCTAGAAAATGGATAGTAAACTATTAGTGGTTTTGGTGTTACATATGTAGTGGAGGAATTTTTTTTCTCATTAAAAAGAACTTGCAACGTTACTTGTCCCATTCTTTGTGATAATAGTAATAACAAAAATAATAAAGGTTGAAACTAGGTAAACACTTTATAATATATTCCCCATTTTTAGAAAAATCTACAGTGCCTTTTGTTTTTTAGCCAATAGGGGCATCTAAAAATTAAATATTCTAACCCCCCCACCTCCTCCTCTTTCTTAAAAAATTGCATTAAGTGCTAACACAAAAGGTAACTAGTGGAGAAGTTTCAATTAATTTTTTCAAAAGGAGACGATTAAATGTTTCCGGCCTGGTAAAGTGTTCATTTCAGTGAGGTGCAGGGGACTGGGTTGGGGGGCGGGGGTGGAGGAAAAGAAGGGGGGAAAATCACAAAGAGATTGGGGAGGAGATGAAGTAGCAGGGCTCAGCAATTCTTTCAATTCCAGTGCACACCCAATAGTGTGTTGGAAGAATGCACACTGTTCGGGATTTGTGGGAGAATTGTCCCACGACAAAAGAGGCAGAGTCACGCTTGTTATAGTCCAATAAGCCGTGCCAGTCAAACAAGAACCCACACTAGCGACAAAAGGCCAGCAAGAGATTCTCACACAAAAGAAAACAAGGAAGCCCATCTTTCAGTTGTGCATCAGGCTCCGGGTTTTCTGCTTCACATAAATACAAACGGAGAGGAAAAAATAAACAGCCCCAAAGACTTCTGTTAACTAGAAATCCTATTTAGATTTCTGAACTTTCCTCACATCCAAGGATTTCAAACAGCGAATAGAAGCCGGAGCTGAAGGCTGGGCTGGGTCCTCCCCTCTCAAATGAAGGGTAATAATGGTGATAAATAGGCATTAACTATGAAACCAAAAGGGAACAGTGACTTCAGATTCCATTTCAATCAACTTCAGACACATTCGAATGGACAGGAGGCCCCCAAGACAGTAACCTACTCTACCCAGTGTCTCCTAGCTTCTGAGGGCTGACCTTGGAGAGAACTCCGATTTAGAAAGTAAATACGATCGTTCAACAAGGGTCTTCAAGAAGACACCAATGTGGAGCTGTTCAAAGAAAAATAATGGCAGCTTACATATGTAATTCTATATTTTCTAGTGGCTACAGTAAAAGAGTAAGGGTGAATTTAATTGTAATAATGTTTATTCAACCCAGTATCTCTGAATGAGTGTCATTTTAATTAACATGTAATCAACATAAAAATTATTGAGATTATTTATATTTCTTTCGGTGGTAGGGAGGGCTACAAAGTCGTTAAATCCTGTGTGTGTTTTACACTTAAAGCACATCTCATTTTGGACTTGCCACTTTTCAAGTGCTCAGCAGCCACATGTGGCACGGTGCCACAGCATTGGAAAGTACAGATCCAACATATCTACATGCATTAAAAAGGTGAACTGTTTCCTCATGCATTACAACTACCCAGAATATTTGCTACATTTGGAGCCACAGCCTGAGAGAGAATTCCAGATGTGGCATCAAAATCTCCACTGTCCACATGTCCTTACCATGCTTCTAGCACTTAGTGTCACCAGCTCTGCCCTGGAATAGCACAATGTGACTTTATTCAGCAGAGAATCTGCAGAATCACAGCAATCCCTAAATAAAATCTAGCCTCCCTCCACTTTAACAATTAAAACAATCATAGTATAATTAGACCCATTTCAAAGTTTGCTTAAGAAATTTGACATACAGGCTTTTATTGGCTGAAAAGTCTGTCATGAAACACAAACACACCTGTCAGCAATTTAAAAAGGATGAACTAGAGAACTGCTCAGGAAATAATATCTGTGCTAATTAAAACCACTAGTTAAACGCTTCCTGTTTATTCCTCCAGTTGCCCTAAGGAGTGACCTCCTCCTTTCCTTTCCTAGGTTCATTTTTTCATTTGTGGCTAATGTGCTTTTGCTGTCTGTTATGACTTCACATGAACCTGGGTAAGAGCCCTTTACATCACTGTTCTTCCAGGTGGAGGGCTAGGGCCCGGCAGGGCAGGAGAAGTGAGCTAATCTCAGGCAAGGGAGGTTCTGAAGATTACTCTTGTAAGGACTACAGAGAAGGTTCTATCCAAACCACAGATCTGATTAGGGAGTAGAGGCAGCAGTTCACTAGCACTGCTGTTCCACTGGACACTTTGGGCAAAGCCAGGCTTTCCCTGTGTGAAGGAAATGATCTTTTGGGTTCACCCCTTTTTCTCAGCTCCCTTTCTCTCTGCTCTGTGTATGCATTTTCAAAACCTGCAACACCCAAATTCTTTCTTTCTGTTTCTTCATAGCTGCTCCTTAGTCTTTAGTTAAAGCAAAGCATTAGCTACTCACCCACTGGATTTCTTCAGGGCTTTCCACCTTCGGTAGCATCAGGCTAGAAGGAAGGACCTGGGACTGCAGGAGGGTCTCTAGGTCTTCCTCGGCCAGACCGCTGGACACTGAGTTGACTCTCACGCACCTTTCAGTTGGGCCCAGATCCAAGTCTTCAAGAGTTTTTACTATTCTCAGTCTAGCTTCATTCTGTAAGTATCAATAAAATATACCTCCTAAGCTTATTTATCATTGAGAGAAATATAACTGAACACAATTGAACCATCTGGGAAACTGTTATATGGATTCAGCACCACTGCAATATCTACACATTTCCTGTCCACCAGATAAATGGTATTTGAAATAAATCATCCAACCTGACAGGTAAGCAATTGATTTCCAGATTTCATTCAAGATGACTGTAACAGAGATGAGAGCTACTATAATGTATATTGGTGTACATCTAAATAGTAATGTAAAATCTTGTTTGTTAGCATTACTTTCTAACTGGAATGGTAAAATCATCAATAGATAAAATTTACTGAGCACTTACTAAGCTTTAGGCATGGTTCTAAGTCCTCTAACCTGCATTTTCTCATTTAATAAATATAAGAAACTAGATAACATATGTGTAATAGTAGTCTCGTCTGTCAGCATATTCACATTAGGGAAAAAATAAGGATTTGTTTTTTTCTTTCCACATGCTTCATGCTTTTTTAGTTACTTAAAAATTTTATTTTGCAGCTGAGTTGAATCTTGACATTCAATTAAGAAGGCACTCACAGGAAAATGACACTCTACACCACAAAAAACCTCCAACTTGTTCAGATGGAAGGCAATATTGTATCACCAATAAATCCCTTCATGAGATGGTAGACAAATGCATTTTTTTCTTTGATTTGACAGTCTTTCCACAGTTAAGAAAAGCTGAAAGGTTGAAAGTCTGCTTCAGTATTTGAATTGTCCCCAGAAAAACTGTATGAAACCAAACATGTTCTTTATTGGCTTTGAGTTGAGGATGTCAAAGGTAGGGAAGGGGGTGGGGAAAGAAAGGAGTACATTGAGGGGGTGGGAGGTGGGGTCAAGAGAAAGAAAGCAGTTGGGGTCATTACTTCCTGCCAATTTCAGTTTCAAAAACAAATTCCTCCAACTTGCCAACAGCCCTCAACAAATTTTCATTGTCAGAATGAACACTTATCAAAAGTAGTTTCATTTGGGAAGGGTTTTTATGATACTAATAAAACTTTAAAGCTTCCACTACTGATGAATGTGGTTTAAAAAAAGAGTCTTAACAATATACAGCCATTTGAACAGCAATACTTACCTAGGAAAACAGAAAACCAAAGCAGAGACAAAAAAAAATTATTTGAGCCAATATTGAGTCTAAGTCTAATCAACAAGACAAGCCAGGACAGTAGATTTAAACCAGACGGATGTAGGTCTACGACCAAGTGGAAGCAGGGAAGCCTTCCAAATGTGGTCTGAGTTAACCAGTGTAAGGAAACAGTAGCTTAGAGTTGTCAGGTCAGATGGAAACGGAGTATGCAGAACCAGTTTAAGACGGCTCTGTGGAGTCCTGATTTACAGAGCTCTGACCACCAATAATTAGGCGGAGTGCACACAAAAGCAAGAGAGAGTTCACATGAACTAAGATGAGGGAGGGTGCAGCCGACAGTGCTTGGGTTCTACATCATGCCTGTGGCTATCCCACAGCTATAAAACTCATCCACTTGCTTAACCATGCCCTTTTGTTATATCCACTAAATACAAAAATCCTAAAGATGAAGAGCACAAGTTATCTGAGTATCGTGGCTCTAAGGCCATCTAGAGCTGTTGAGAGAAATGCTTCCAGCTCTTTGGTATGTGTATTCAGATTCATGGCCTCAGAGGACCCAAAATGTGTTATGCTCCATGAAGCCCGCAGAGCTACAAATTCAGGATTGCTCCAGCTTGTAAATATTTCAACTTCCAGGATTTCTTTCAATAGCAGGGCGGGCTTGTAAAAGGCCTATTAGAACAGAATGAATGGAAAATGGAAGGAAGCTAACTAGACCATTTAGGCTGAAATGTATTTTAAAACTTGAGTTATTTGAATAAGCATCTTCATTTGCTACTTTAATGTGCACGTGTGCTTAAGGACACAGGATCTCTGGCAACATCAACTTCCTAAATTGTTAATGTTGATTGTCTAGGCTATTTTGTTGTTTCACTTGAATTTGAAGGGGACTGTTTGTTCAAAGCTCATGTTTTAAACCTGTTTGTATTTTTTATCTCAAGTCAGATTACTATGGTTTCAGCACATTCTAGTTTTCTTAGTAAAATTTAGCACTTGTGGAATTAGTTGCAAATGAAATAACCTAATTCCAGGTTTAGGCATAATCTGATTAGTACTTTTCATGTTATAATAATAAGCAGTGAATACTCAGCATTTTATTAGACTTTTTTCTTTTTTGGCTTAGAATTAAAACCAAGCTCTTTCCACTTCATCATTCTGTACCTTTCCAAAAAAAGATGATGGCTTTGGAGGTATATTGCCACACAACACCCTTATTAACAGGCTGTTGCTTGCTACAATTTACATAAACTTAGTGTTCATCCCTCTGCTATGTATCCCAAAATACCCAACAACCTCACTGAATTTATACTAACCAACAAGCATGATGATTTTTTTTTCTTTTTGGTATTTTAATGGTAAAATATGTTACTGTGCTAAGCAAACATACCCATGCCATCTGTTGGGTAAGAGGAAGGCAGTTTCTAAGAACAATTAAGTTTAGTTCTGGGTGTTCAGCTAGAGAGAGCCACAATCTACCCAGCTGTGAACAGAAAATTCTGTTCATGCTATTTCCTTCCTGTCTTTCCTTCTTTTTCTCTCTCTGGCTACCATCGCTATCTTACATCTACCATTTCCTCTCTATCGCCTTGCTCCCTGCACACTTTCAGTCTCTTCTCTAATTTTCTTTGGCTCCCAATAGGCCCTGACCGTATTTCCAATTTCCATCTTACTTGGCAACTAGTAAGACCTGGTCTGGCGGGCACCATTTTCTCAGAAGGGCTACCTGGGTGATCTGAGATTATCGGGAAGTAAGCACTCCCTGGAGAAAGAAGGAAAAGGAAATGAAATAAATAAGAGGCTACTCAAAAAAGACCTTTTCTTGTGGAAGGGGCTCTTACTTTCTGGTAGTAAAACAGGTTGTTCAAAATGAGGTTTAGAAGGAACTGCATTCTAAATGTGTTAACACTACAGGATAGCCTTGGTAAGCATTTCTCAATGTAGGATGCACTTGTCCCTCTAAGATCTGACAACCTGGAAAAGACAGAATGGCGTTAAAGCCTTTATCTAGAGTTACATTAGATCTTTGCAGAAATGAAATACCAGAGTGTGTTTTGTAATGTGTTTGATTTCAGAGGTGGGCTCTTGCAGAGGTCACAGAGAAAGTTGGCACAGATCAGAATCTTCACAGGCCGCTGTTCTAAATAAAAAGTGGTGTCACCAAACTTCAATCGATATTTCGTGCCATGGGCTGCTCAGTGCATTGGACCAGTGGCTAATAAACTTGTCCTTATACATAAGCCACCATATTATGTGACTCTGTCTGGGCCAGGAACCAAGGCGTGCTATGATTTCAGAGACCATATTCCTGTCACCTGGGGAAGAGACTTGCTCTGGTGACGTAAAAAAGCAGATAATCAACCATCACCAAGACCTGCAGACTCTAAAATTAAAGGAGAAAATATGTGTGCAGTTGGTTCAATTGGCACCCATTAAAGCTAATAACTAATCATTCTCGCAAGTTTCTAGCTCAGAATGATCAAATCTGCAAAGAAAACAACATCCGTCCACTTTTACACTCCAGTGGAAGAGGTGGTCCCTCGCGGCAGGGTGGCACAGTCTCGCCATCTGGAGAATAAATCGAGTGTGAAGTACAGTATAGTTTGGGACCAAGCTCCGTGGAGGCAGCTCAGCAGTCAGTTCATTAGTTCCAAACTTCCAGGGATTAGAGCAGCAGCAATTCTACTGTTGGGGAGGAAGAGACAGACAGGACACGAGATTCAAGGAGGATCACGACAACCAAGAGGAACCCCTTGGGTTTATTTATAAAACTACAAAGTATAAACATACCCAAATAAGTGCCTTAAATAATAGCATTTTCACAGTTTCCTAACATCTGAATTAACACACCTTTCTCTTCTTCCACCCACCCCCTCAAACCTTCTATGTTAATAATATATTGTCATTTTTAGAGGAAATTGCAAAGATGACCCTGGATGCAACAGGAGCAAAGAGAAAGCTGTGTGGCCAAACGGAGATTTGGTAATTAAGAAATCTGAAAGACTTTCTGGACTCTAGGGAGATGCACAACATTTGTGATTTTTGAAAATGTGCAATTAGCATTTTCATTTTACAAAAGGCAAACAGCCGTACCACATATGCAAAAACACCAGTGAATTCTATACTTTCTGAATCTGTCTATCTACACTTATTTCCATTTTTTCTAATTCATAAAATGATGTGACAGGCATGGGAAGGAACACATTTGGGGCAGAAGCCTTGCTACCAGCATCTATATGAAAAGTTTTTTGAAAATTTTGATATTGTTTGGTTTAAAACACGAAATTCTGAGTGAGTTGTTTCATTTAAGGATCTCCTTTTTCTGATAATTTCTTTTTACGCATTTATATTTTTTTAAAAAAGGAAGTACTTGGACATAAAATGGGTCCTTACTAGGAAATTATATTATTGTACTTTTCTTATAAATGTATACAAATTTATTGTAACTACAGAAACTGTTGTAGTGAATGTATTGGATAAAAAGGCAAATAAATTCTCACTGATTATTACAACCTGGTAGTGTTTCTTTAGGCAAGGTGACATTGCTGTTTTCTACCCCATTGCTTTTACACATGAAAAAGAAATCTTGGAATGCCTGCTTTTTAGAAAGAAAATCTACATTACTGAACATACCATGAGGTAATTGGTTTAAAATATCATTCACTGATAACACTGAAGGCAATGATAACAAAAGAAAAAAACAAACTGGACTCCATGAAAACTTTAAAAACGTGTGCATCAAAAGACTATCAACAGAGTAGAAAGGCACCCACAGAAGGGGAGAACATATTTGTAAATCATCTATCTGTAAAGGATTCCCATCCAGAATATATACAGAACTCCTAAAACTCAACAGCAGAAAACATGATTCAAAAAT